ATTTAATCTACCCTTGCGGTCAAAGTGCTATTTTATCTATACTATTTTTGATAGATAAAAGGCAATTTTAACAGTTGCTATGGAAAAAACAAATTTTTCTTCTTATTCCATTACTTAAAACTTTTTTAAAGAAACAGAAAATTGAATTTTAGGCAATTACACTAATTTAAGCAGGGAGTTAAAATGCTCTGAATTATTTATCCTGAAAGTTGAGTCGCCTGAGTCATTAATAAATAATTTGAATTCCTGGATTTGTGACATCTGTTTAAAATTAAATGATTTCCTGAGGGACTCTGCCTTATCCATCGTTCTCAGAGATAGAAAAATATTTTTTGCTTCCAATATTGTTGTTAAACAAGGAGTTTCTTCGTTTTTTTTTTAATTTATAGCATAATTTTATTTGCAAAGCAGTACGACAGGGAGACCAATAATTGACAGATTTGACAGGACCGCGTCTTATTACAAGAAGAAGAAGAAGAGATGTATGAGGGTAACACTCAATCGAAAAAAATTCTAGAGTAATATGAGATTTTGATATTAATATCCCCGGTTTACTCGCCGCCACTGGGTTAGGTGAATGTGTGCTTGAACCAGTAAAGAGTACAAAGACACGAAGACGAAGAAAACTAGACATAAAGATAAATGCGGGAACGCGGTTGCATTTTATTACATGCCTCAAGATGCATCAGGATATCCTATATTTGATATACGTATTCTTTACCTTTACAGAACGGTGCGATCTATTTTCCTGAAAAAAGGCATTATTTCCACATCGATACCGCACTTAATTTTATTTCGTCTCTCTCTTTTTCGACCTATTCTACAGGGTGGAAAAAGATAAATGCCCAAAAAATTCGAGAGATGATTTTTTTCTTTCTCTTCAAATATTTTCAATCCTTTACCTACAATTTTAGTGAAACCAGAAAAATTATGAATAAATTCTTAATTCTAACAGTTTAAAATACATGCCAAAAAATCATTAGGTGTCTGTGATAAAAATTTGCTCAAGAAAAAGTCGATTCACCACTTATTAGCAAAAGCTTGTAGGCCATTTAATGCTGATTAAAAGTTGTATCTTGGTATTAAAATATGTTGCACTTATAGTAACTTTTACCCTCAAATCGCTAAAAGCACTTGATAGAAAATTATAATAAATCAAAAATAGATAAAGATTTTAACACCTTGTAGCTACGAAACAAAGCAGAATCGAACCTATACGCTTAATATGAAGAAATGATGTGAATGATGTTTTTTGAAACGCCCTGTATAAGAAAAAGAACGGAGAGAACCTATATAAAAAATAACGATCGTCTAAATGAAAATATATAAAAGCCCTGTATCTCTCACATTAGTAATAAAGTACGGGAATGGCGTCATAAAATGTAATGGAGCCTCAACTTAGTAAAACAGTGCTTACGTGAGGTAGATATTTTAGAGGATTAAGCAGGCATATAAAATCTGCGAAATATACTTGATATTCGAGACAGGACTTTATAGTTTTGATATACTTGATACTTGAAGAGGTTTAATTAAATTATACTAGGAATATCATTGATATTATAGCGACTACGTTCGCGTTACACCTCGAATCGTTCATGCATTGATTTAAATGATTGTTTAACTCTTTATAGATAGAGCTAGTGAGCCTTATAAATGCTCTATTTAAACTGTGTTTTTAAAAGTTTTAGAGCTACTCGTATTTCATATGAAAGTTAGCAATTGTTGATTTTCTGGATATTGTACAGGGCGAGTCTTGAATAAGTGCAAATATTTTCAGGGCTGGTAGATCTCGATAAAAGAAACATATTTTCTCTTCACCGTTTTTCAAGTAACTCGAAAATAACCGAGTTATTTAACTTTAAAAATTTTCCAAAAAAAAATATTTTTTGCTTAAATTTTGAGTTTTTTCTGTCTGGTAAATTTATTCTACTACCTATGTTGCCATATTATCAAGAAATTATGGTTTTTAACTAAAAACTAAAAAAAAGTTTTTCAAAAAATTCCAAATTCTTCAAAAAAATTTTCACGAAAATCTCATAAACGTGTTAAAGGTCATCTATGTCTTCAGTTGTTGAAGGATTGTCCCACTGGAAGATGCTTAATACTCAAACAACGCTTATTCAACTTCTTTACGACATATTGCACAAAAATGCAATTATTCATCATTTCTTAGATAGAAATAATAATAAAAACACCAGAGGGTTATAAGAGGTCATAATATGTCTTCAGATGTGTATTGGACATGCCATCATAAGCACTTATTTAACTTTCTAATAAATTCTTAGACCAAAATAAATAAAAAAAGACGAGAGTGTTTTACACTAACCATTTATACATTCAGAAATATATTTTTTTGACGATGATATCGAAAATAAGCAATTATTTACTTTACTCTAGGTACAAAGATATTTTCTTCAAAAACCACCGACAACGATATTACATTGTTACCAGATAAAACAAGTTTTTATCAAAGGAATGCCACTGTACTTTATACGTTTGTATGTATATATCTCCTGCATATATTCCTAGGAGAGAATATAATGATTTGTGAGGTATCTCCGAGATACAGGCATTGAATTTTATGCATTTACCCACCGAGGGTTTTGTTATTTTTGTTGCTTTGTTATTGTTGAGCTTATTTGTTGTTCTGGCTATGTATATTATGTCTGAAATACAGGATGGTTAGATTTATATACCACTTAAATCTATTAAAAATTGATTTTTTAAGAGACTATTTTTATATGAATTATTTTATATTTTATATCAACTACATTTACAAGTTTTTGGTTTAAATTAATTGTATTTTGATACTGTATTTGTGGCAAATTCAAAAAAAGTTACCTGAATCAAGTATAGTATATCTGATAGAAGTATAATGAAGTAAAAGGAAAATTGTTCCTTTTAAATTGAAAAAACCTTTTTATCTTTGTATTTTACAAAGTTGTTCAGATTTTTGTACCAGAACTTTAAAAGTCTAGAGAAAATCTTATCTCAAATAACAAATATATCTAACAAAAATCAAACTAGATATTTAGATTACAGTTAATGGTTGGAACCTTTGGTGTTACACAGCAAAATAAAAACACTAAATCACGACAATACACCAAAACACTTTTACTTTTACACTGGACGCGCGTTCCGCTAACCATGTTAGCATCATCAGCAGATGATTATAAACTAAAGTACAATCTACAAGGTGAGCGTTTATATACTCGCTCAGTGGGCCCCGAGTGGGCGTGGCAAAATCTAGCCAACCGAGTCAGAGTCAACTGAGCGTAACAGTTAGATTTCCGCCACTAAGAGTAGTAGGAACAAAGAACTTGAAGGAATTGGACCGTTGTCTCTGTTCATACTATCTTTACATTTATTAATTCTGATGCTTTCATATGCATCTAATTGCCTGTAATTTGAGACTTGTTTAATTAATTTTAAATTATTAAGATCTATACAATGTTCTTTATGAACAATATGTTCGGCAACGCAAGATTTATCCGGTTTACCATATCTTATCTGAGCTAAATGTTCTTTAAATCTAGTTAATATTGATTTTCTAGTTTGCCCAACATATTTCTGATTACAATCTTTACAAGAAATTTCATAAATACCCGACCTTTCCAGTGGAGGTGTTTTATCCTTTGGATTACCTAATAATTGTTGTAATTTATTATTAGCACTATACACAAGTTTATAATTGACATTCTTAAAAATTCCTTTTAGACCACGGGATAACTCTCTATCAAACGGTATCGAAAAATATTTAGACGTATCTTTCTCCACTTGAAAAGTCGAATTTTCAGAAATCATTAACCTATACCTATAAATTAATTAGAAAACGTAGGTATAGGTTAATGATTTCTGAAAATTCGACTTTTCAAGTGGAGAAAGATACGTCTAAATATTTTTCGATACCGTTTGATAGAGAGTTATCCCGTGGTCTAAAAGGAATTTTTAAGAATGTCAATTATAAACTTGTGTATAGTGCTAATAATAAATTACAACAATTATTAGGTAATCCAAAAGATAAAACACCTCCACTAGAAAAGGTCGGGTATTTTTGAAATTTCTTGTAAAGATTGTAATCAGAAATATGTTGGGCAAACTAGAAGATCAATATTAACTAGATTTAAAGAACATTTAGCTCAGATAAGATATGGTAGACCGGATAAATCTTGCGTTGCCGAACATATTGTTGATAATGAACATTGTATAGATCTTAATAATTTAAAATTAATTAAACAAGTCTCAAATTACAGGCAATTAGATGCATATGAAAGCATCAGAATTAATAAATGTAAAGATAGTATGAACAGAGTCAACGGTCCAATTCCTTCAAGTTCTTTGTTCCTACTACTCTAGTGGCGGAAATCTAACTGTTACGCTCAGTTGACTCTGACTCGGTTGGCTAGATTTTGCCACGCCCACTCGGGGCCCACTGAGCGAGTATATAAACGCTCACCTTGTAGATTGTACTTTAGTTTATAATCATCTGCTGATGATGCTAACATGGTTAGCGAAACGCGCGTCCAGTGTAAAAGTGTTTTGGTGTATTGTGGTGATTTAGTGTTTTTATTTTGCTAGATATTTAGATCTGGATCGGAGGGGCTTCTCCAGACTGTCCACTGGAGAAACCACCAAGTGCACAGGCATAGCAGGATCAATAGCTCAGCCTGTATCAAGAAAGTATTTGCTGCAGACTTTACTATAAAGATCCTGAAACAGTAGAGCACATAATATGTCACTGCTTGCCTTTGGATCACGAGCGAAACTTTCTGTTTGGGAAAGCAAGGCGAGAGGAACTATGCTCATATTCTATCAAAGACCTGCAAAAGCCGGTGCAGGATACAGGGATAGAAGATTAGGTGCAGACGGGAAAGAAGTTATAGTTAAACGAGTTTTGATACTTTACTATTTCTCTTTGTCACTCTTAGTAAGATTTTCAACCAGAAACATATATTTATCTTTGTATGCTTTTATTAACTAATCTATTTTGTATTTTACAGATAACTTCTTAGGAAAACATCGCACAAAATTCACCAAACCAAATGAAAATGACCATTCTACATTCATGTTGCTGCTGGAGATCGGTGAGGAAGGGCAGCGTGGCTTGTGGTGTCTATACAGGGGTAAGTCAATTGTTAAACTCAATTTATTTTATTGCCAATATTGCCAATTAATCATCATAATTTCTAGCTTATTCAACCATTTCCAATTTTGGTGTAGCCTCCCTCCATATTTAAATAAACTTCTTGTTATTGGGCCCGTTATTGTCTATTGTTGAATCCCATCTCAGATTTGACCTTCTTCTTGATAAAGTTCCTTAATTCCACGTAGATGCAATGCTGTAATTTTTATGGTCCATCTGTAAGTTTTATGGTCCAATGCCACTTGAAGGATTTGATTTTGTGGATGACTCTTTTGTCATATCCACTCTATTCTTTTACGATCTCTCTTGGATATTCACAGCATATTTCGTTCCATTGAGCGTTGTGCCACCTACTGTTTCCTTATAATGTCCGTTTTAAGTGTCTAGGTTTCGCATGCATAGGTTATGACTGGTAATACTAGTACACATTGGTCACTATTAGTCCTTTTTCATCTTTATATCATAATGCGAACGAAAGTCGCCTTGACTAGGATTCGAACCTGCCTTAAGGGTCGATTACATTGGGCGAATTTACTAGCTACTCGCTGGCGACTAAAGTCGGCCTACTACCGAGCGTGTTTGAACTCGCTCATGGCTTACAATTAGACAGAACGATTAAAAACGCAAAAACGCAGTACATCTTTGATGCTACAAACAACAAATTTTTTAGAGAAATGCTATTACACACGGCGACTTTGCTCGCCAGACACCAAAATATCCAGCGAGTAGCGACTAAAGTAGCCGACTTGGCTACTTTAATCGCAATAGCTGCGCGACCGGCGAGTTTATTATTACACTTAGCGGGTTTCGTCGCGGCCACTAAATTCGCCAGCGAGTAGCTAGTAAATTCGCCCAATGTAATCGACCCTTTTTAAAGTAGCGTTAAGTGCTAACGCTTTAACCACGCGGCCACCGAGGATTTGAAAGATTCTATGTAAAATTCTTCTTCTTTCTTTCTCAGCCTGGTTCCATCCAGTGTTGGATATAGGCCTCTTCTAGGTTTTTCCATGCTTCGCGATCTCTAGCCAACCTTATCCATTGTCTTCCCGCCACTGTCCTGACGTCATCGACCCATCTCTTTTTTGGTCGGCCCACACTTCTTGTTGTTCCCCTAGGTCTCCATAGGATTACTTTTTGGGGCCATCGGCCTGGATCCTGTCTTGCCACATGTCCTATCCATTGCCACTTCACACTTGCCACTCTTTTAACGACATCTATTAATTTTGTTTTTTGACGTATGTGGGTATTCCGTATTTTTTCCCTAATGGTGACTCCCAACATGATTCTTTCCATGGCTCTTTGTGCTACTCGTAGTTGTTCTGCTGTTTTTCGGGTAATTGCCATAGCCTCTAAGCCATACGTAAGCACAGGTAGAATGCAGCTGTCGTAAGCCTTTTTCTTAGGTTCATGGGCACCTTTTATCCTTGAAAATATCGCTCATATTTCCAAATGCTACCCATGCCAAATGGATCCTGCGTTTGATCTCCGTATTTTGGTTTTCCTTGCCCAGCTTGATTTTATGACCTAAATATATATAATGGTCTACGTTTTCAATAATAACGTTGTCAACGGTAATGTTACGGATATTGTTGCTCATTATCTTGGTCTTTTAAGTTCATTTTAAGGCCAATTTTCTGGAATTGGTCATTTAGCTCATTTAGCATGGAGTTCAGTTCTTGAATGTCGATGCTCAGCAAGACAATATCGTCTGAACCTCAGATGGCTAAGGTGTACCCCATCCATGGTTAGACCTCTATTTTCCCATTCTAATTTCTTGAAGACATTTTCCAGTGTCAGTGTAAATAACTTGGGAGAGATGGTATCTCCTTGTCTCACGCCCTTGCCGAGTGGTATTATTTTTCTGTTTTGAGGTCATTATCTAATTTAACTTGGAAGGTTGCACTATCATATCTGGAATCAATTCTCGCATCCTCCATTGCAGCTAGAAATGACGAGGTTTCGATGCTGTCAAAGGCTTTTGATAGTCTACAAAGGCCAAATGTAGAGGTATATTTGTAATCTGTTGTTTTTTCAATGACTGTTTTAATTGTTTGTAGATGATCGATGGTACTAAAAGCTTTTCGAAAGCTTGCCTGTTCTATGGGCTGATAGGAATCTAGTTTCGTAGACAGTCGGTTGTTGATAATCCTAGTGAAGAGCTTGTATAGATGCGAGAGAAGGCTTATTGGTCTATAATTCTCTATATTTGTAAAATCTCCTTTTTTGTATAGTAGCACAACTTCTGCGTTTGTCCATGCATCCGGGATTCTACCCTCCATCAGACATTTATATAACAATACTTCCACGGCATCCACTAAAGGTTTTCCGCCCATCTTCAGCATTTCAGGTTTAATACGATCTTCTCCTGGGCTTTTGCCATTTTTAATTTGTTGAAGTGCGTATTTAATTTCTGTGGTTGATATTTCTGGCATATCTTCTGATCCTACGTTTGTGATGTGTTTTTGTACTCTATCTTTGTTTGTGACTGATAAACGTTGTTCGATACTGTTGTTCGTAGAATTTGTGTATTTTATTTCTAATTTCATGTTTGTCTGTTGTTATAATGCCATGTGTGTTTCTTATCTTTATTATTTTTTGTTTTCCGCGCATTTGCTTGCGTCTTAACACTTTCATGCTTCTATTGTTTTCAATTGTTTCCAAAATTTGGTTTCTCTTATACTCCCTTAGATCTGTTCTTATTTCTCTTTTAGTTGTTTTATTTAAGGTCAGATCTCTGTCAGTCTTTCTTCTTTCCCTTATTAGTTTTGTCGTTTCTGGTTTAAATTTAGTTTCCGAAAGGTGTTTCATTTTACTACATATTTTCTTTGTTGCTGTAGTTATGCCCTGCTTTAGATTATTGAGAATGTCGTTGGGGTTTTGATCTCTGAGTGTCTGTGACTTTAGTCGCTTTTCAAGCTCTTTTTGATAGGTTTCCTGATTTAGTTGCAGAGCGTCCCTTGTAGGAAACATTGATCTGGTAATTATTTTTCTCCTTTCTATATTAGTATAGGTTTGTATTTTGGCGCGTACTAGTCTGTGGTCACTTCCTTTATGAAAACTGTTTAACACATCGACATCTTTACAGATTGTATTCTTGTTGGTGAGGATAAAGTCTATTTGATTATTTACTCGTCCGTCTGGACTCCGCCATGTCCATTCTAAAATTCTTACTTAAAAGATAATGTTCAGTGAAAGTACTTTTTTATTTATAAACATTTATTTAATTCTGTTTTAAGCATTTGTTCTTATAGCGGCAACATAGATACATTATCTGTAAAAATTTCAACTGTCTAGCTATAAGAGTTCATAAGATAGACATTTGTGACAGACGGACGGATAGCGAAGTCTTAGTAATTCTTAGTAATAGGGTTCCCGTTGTTAGATATCCTTTAAACATTTATCCTAAAAACGAGACAAATTAAAGAGAAATGGGAGTTTTTGTTTATTGTCAAAAAAAAACAAAATGGCAGTCGACAGGTCACTTAAACGAGGTGAGTGGCGCGATTTAACTTTTAATTAATTCCAAAAACGGACCTAACTGGAACGTGTTCTCCCGTTATTTCCCAATTTTCCCGTTAGGAAAAGCGTGAAATTGAAAACTCAAACCCAGATAACCGTATATACATATACGTTCAGAGAAATTAGTAAACCTAGAGCAACTCCCTAAAATATTTTTGATAGAACAGTCTTTGGTTATCTTCTAATTTTACCAGCAGTATCAGTATAACAGAAATTTATAATATATCTTGGCAGAGACTTAACGAGTAAGATTTCTATTGTAAATTTATAAATATTTATTGTTCCTGTGTGATAATTGTTTAGGTATTCATTTATAAAATAAAAAAAAAATTAAAAAAGATAGTATATTGTTTTACTAGGATTAAAAATGATACTTTTCGTGGCGAGACTACATTACACGGTACGTTTTAGATTACATGCCAGACACAGAAAGTCATTTTTACACCCAATAGCACATGCTATTCTTTTCAAACGTCGCAAATATTTTTTTAAACAATTGAAATGTTCCAAATAGTATAATAGTTATTTAAGACGATAAAATGGTAGTTTATCGTCGAACGTCAAGATTAATTCACGAGCGATGAATTAATTTCGGGATACCATAATGCAATTTTATCGTCGTGTATAAAACAATATTTTTTTCCATAGCGACTTACGTTTTAAAAAATATTCAGAAATTATTATTTCGAGGAATTTATTACGAGTAGAAAAAATATTGTGCTGAGTTGGCGTTGATTTCTATGTAATTTGACAAATAAATAAAGCTGTCTCTTTAGTTGTCAGTTTTGAGTCAATATTTTTTAATTCTCTTTCGTGTCGATTGCTGATTGAATTGCAGCCAGAAATGGCTCAAAACAAAATAAGTAAATTACCAACAGATATTCAGGCTGAGGCGACAAAACGCCACACAGTGGGGTATTTGACACAGATAGTTGATCCAAATTTTTTTATGTAGACCTTATATAAATTATTGCTATTTTTAATTAAAGAGGAAATAATATGAACAAAATAAAGGATAATTCGTCGATTCTAAAATAAAGAAAGAAAAATCACTGTCCCAGTGTTTCCACGGTCAATGCCACTAATGCCAGTAGTAATATCGCAACTAATTCTACTAATGCTACGACTGATCCGCGAGCAATGCCCATACCACTAAAGTCGCTACTAATGCCAAATTGTGCTATACTGCTAATGGCACTAATGCGATCGCTTTGTACACAACAATGCCATCGCGGTTTACACCTCGCATTAGTATATCACTGATTGGCAAATTAGAGGATACCAAGAATGTTTTTCTCATATTATCAGCAAAGTCGCAAAAAGTCGCAGTATTTTATTTTACTGTATGCAAGTCCAATGTTTACTAAGTAAAACGTATATAGGCAATATGCTGAATTCTTCGAAATGCGCAACTAAATCTCTAAGTATAATAAAAATGTCACAAATTTAGTCAAATTTTCT